GGAAAATGTTTATAGGGGGAACCAAAAGGCCAGAACATTCATTCATGTTTGATTGCTCAGTGTAAGACTGAATCCCTTCCTTGGGCTATTTGGGCAGATAGGCTGCAAGGAAGATGTGCAAAGCTTTATCAGGCAGCTCATTCAGGAGAGCTTATGACTTTCACAGAACTACTTTCTGACCGGCTTTTTTCCAAAGTAACCCTCCTCTCTCTCTCCCTCTGGCACTGTGACCCTGGAACAAGCGTATCACAATTTTGGCATGTGTGGGACATGCTACCACAGTACAGCAATACTATATGGCAAGCACAACATATGTTTTGGAAGAGAGTTCAGTTTATTTTAGCTGCTCCAAATTTACTTGACCTGTTTAATCCAGCTTTCACACTACATCATTTCAATGACTGGGACTGCTTTTAGGTCATGCCCCACAGAACATATGCAGCCAGTTGGCCTTTCATCTGTATGCTTAATTGTCCAAAATTATTTCCATGTGATTAATATAAACCCCCAACATCCATGATAGGCCAGGCCACTCCATCATCCAAGTTGTGTTTGGCAGGTGCAGGGTCTATCCCACTGAGAAAGGAATAGTGTGAACACAGCATGCTGGGGAGTCCAGTCTGCTTCCTAGCTGGGCGTTATCCGATTGCTCTCTCTCTAGGCTGGGTGTGAGTTAATATTGAGTCAGGCACCTACAGGACACCAGTGCGGGGCAAAGCTCGTGGCACGGACAGCCCCATCCCGCTCTGGATGCTGAGCTATGGCATTGCTTGGCTCTTAGCTGCTCTGCAAATGGAAACAGCAGCTGGGTAGTTCTGGAGCTGCTGTAGTGTGGGAGCTGCTGCCATCCCCAGAGATACTCAGACACACCTCTTGTTTTGGGATCCCCTCTGAACACACAGCGGAGCGCTGCAGCTGCGAGGGCTGCTGTGGTCCTGAGGCTGAGGTGAAGGTGCAGGGCCAGGACTGCTGCAGGTGGTCTCTGGCACATGCTGTGCTGGGGGATGGGACAGCAGAGAGTGCCCTGCTCATGGATCATACCAGAAGCACCACAGGTGTTTTCAAGGAATGAACAGCCACAGTGGCTACACCCTCACCCTGCTCTCCCCAATGCACCTGTGCTGCAGCTGTAGATGTTTCCTGTCTTGCAGGGACTTTAGTGTAGTACCCTGAATGGGGCCCATGCCTCATAAAAAATTAGGTGATTGCTGTGGCATTGTTTCTTTACAAGGGAGCTGCTCTTTCCCCTCTTCTACCCTCTGTTTTTTCCTGTCAACAACAACAACCCTCACCCCTGCCTGGCAGCCACTCCCTCACCAGCCAACTGAATCATCCTGGAGACAGGAGGCTTTTTTGGGTGCTAAAACTTTACAAGGCAAAGACTTACAGAATACACCCATATGCCCTGCCTGGAAACTGGCTCCCACCTCTGCGGAAAAAGCCAGACAGTCTCAATTAGGCATTCGTGGAAAGTGGGGACAAGCTGGGGCTGGAGCCAGAAGCTGTAAAATTTTCCACGTTTGCCAGCACCGATCCTGCAGACCCGTCTGCTCATTCCATCTCGGCCTCCTTCTCGCTAGGCAACAAAATGTGCTGAAAGGAGAAATCAGGAAGATCGTTTTCATACCCAGCATTCTCTGGTTGGGATGGTTTTTGCTGTGCTGTAAAACCATTGCACTGTGTAACTTGTCTTCCCTAAGGCTGAGGGGGAGCAAAGTGCTCCCCCAGCAGTGTGTGCTCCACCCCAAGGAGCTGTGCAGTGGCTCCACCAAAACAAGCAAAGAGGCTCCAACCAGGCCATTCCTGGGACAGAAAAATCAGATTCATCATCATCAGATTCATCATAATGGGAAATCCTCCTGGAGCTCTTGCAGTGAGGTTTGACAGAAGGAGCTTTGGGAAGAAGAAAAGGCCAGGACTGTTTGGCTGTAACCCAGCTGCAATTGGCCATCCCTGGGACTAGCAGAGCAAGCACAAACTCACCTCACAGCCCTTAGAAAGCAGCGCTATCTGCCTCATTTTTTTGGGGAGACTTTTTTATTCTCTGCTATGCCAGTGACTGGTACTGTGTGAGAAAGACCAGAAATCATAATTTTGACTGGAATACAGAGACCTTGTTTTGCTTCCTGTATGGGCAGGGAGATGGCTGTGGTCACTTACCTGCATCCTTCTGCAGAATAAAGGAGTTTCTTAAGAGTGTGACTGGCAGTGGAGAGCACCAGGGTGTTTGGCTGTGCTGCACGTGGTGTGGGGCAAGGGCTGGAATGTGTGTGGCAACACAATTAAGGATGTTTGGAGGGGACAGCATGTTAATGTAATTCCAAATATGTTTTTGAAAGACCAGGGATGGTGCAAAGCATGTAATAATACAACTTCAAACTGAAAACGCGCAACAGCTGTAAGATACAGGCAGTGGGGAGGAGTTGGGAGAGGCAAGAGAAAGTGGGGAGGTACGAGGCATGGAGGGATTGAAATTTACAGTTCCAGTTATTTTGGGCACAATCACTTACAACCTGTATCTACAGGTGAAGGAGCGTCTGATGAAATTCCAATTTTATAATCTAAACATACATTTCTCACTTCAATCACTGAACAGGCTTTACCCAGCTGAGTGTTTTAGGAAATTAGTTTGGGGTATTTTTTGTTTGTTTGCTTGCTTGTTCTGGGTAACAGAACACAGCCTTGGAGTGAATTAGTAGCAGATTTCTTTTTCTTTTTCCTTTTCCTTTTTCTTTCTTTCTTAGGTGTACCTGAAAGGGATTGGTTTCATGCTGGAGACTAGACAGTATCTGCCCTAAGAAAAAAGTGCCTTTTTTTACTTTTAAGAAAACCAGAATATATGCCAGGGTGAAAGTGAGGCTTATATGCCCATCATTACCTGCTGTATTGTCTATCTTTACAAAAAGAACCCAGGTGACAAATTTCTCCTACTTATCATATTTAGAAAGCTGTTTGAAATCAGCCAGATTTACTGGTAAGGTGTTGAAGGGAAGATCATGTTTATGAAGTGCATTAAATTCTTATTAAAAAAAAAAATCTAAGATTTACTTCACACCTACAGTCCTCGAGAGAGCAAATCACACATACTTTAGGCTGAACTTCCCCTTTGCTGGGACTGTAAAGCCTTATTTGAGACCCTATTGCTTCTTCTCTTGCAAATTCTTGCAAAGACGTGCACAGGGTTCAGTGTAGGAAGGAAATCAGGGGAGAAAAAATATTGCTACAGTAGTGCAATATTCTGTTGGAGACTACAAATTATGCTAGTTTTCAATTAGTTTCCTGTCAATTAGCCCACCTAAATGTGAGCATAGGTGAGTTGCAAGGTCTTCTTTCAGAGCATGAATGCTGGAGAACTGAAGGGTATTTCCCTGGGCATGTCTGTTTGAGTCTTCCCCAGCAGCTGTCAGCTTGGGTGCCATGTGCTTCCTCATGTACAGAGCTGAGTATGTTTACATTCACATATTGCAGCTCCCAATGTCATACAAAAAATAATCCTTGGGTCAGGACAACAATCAGACTAACACCTACTCAGATATCCTCTTTCCTACAGCAGTTTAGTGAGGGAAAAGATACGAAGCACAGACAGTCAACCTTATGTTGGCGTCATCTCTTGTTGCTTCTGTGCTTTGGGACTTCCTGAGCAGGGTCACAGCTCCGTGGTTAATAACCCTGGCAGAGTTTAATTTTTTTTTTTAATGTGGTTTAGTAGTTGGTTTTGATCTCATTTATTCCTTTGACAGCTAGAATACCCCATGACTATGCATTTCAGTCTGCTGTGTGAAATTTTTGTTTTAATTATATTACCTCAGATGTTTGTGTCCAAAATTCCCTTTTTCTAGGAGAGTTGTAGAAGCAATTAATATTTCTTCCCTTATTTGTGTCATTTATTATATTGTGGGATGCTAACACATCTGCCCTTAATGATCTCTTTTCCAGAAAATGGAGGCCCAGTCCACAGTTGCCTTTCACAAGGAAATAATTTCTTTCATTTGATCATTCCTGAATTTTTTAAATTTATGCTTTGTCCTTTTAAAGTGATAAGGATTATATAATGATGTTTTCTCTTTATTTTCTTGTTCATACTTCCAAATTCTCTGTCTCTTTATTTAAACTATTATGACTTTGAGTTGAACAATCCAAAAAAACACAATGCACTTGTTCCTGACTATTACTAGCTAATTTAAAATCTGTTATTCAATATGCACCATTTGGGGCGTCTTTCACTGAGCATCAGGGACTCAGCTGCTACTTGTGTCTGGTTTTGCTTTTGCTACTCTGAATTACTGTTCACCTCCCAACTTAATAAACCTAGTTTCATTCCTTCAAATCGCAGAACATGTTGGTGAGAGTGGTTGTCTTTATTTAACTCAGACATTTTTGCTTCAGTTTAATTAAAGAAATGCAAAAACTTGTAGCCAACTATCTAAAGAAGTAACCACACCTCAGTAGCTGGGCAAGGCATTAGTTACTGTGTGTAATTGCTTTGTATTCACAAATTGTATAAGACATTCAGAAGCGTTAGCAGGGCATGCTGGAAAGCAATTTTAATTGATTGATTTCAACGTGTTCTATTCAAGATTCTGTCTAGTGAACTTTATTTGTGTATATCCTGTTTATTATGTATTTAATGTTTACTTAGTGACATTTCTGCAGCTGTGGAAGAGTTAACTGTGCGAACATTAAAATGAGGGTTGTCTCTCCTGGATGTGAACTGAACTGTCCTTTGCCTCCCAGCCGCCTGTGAAGATTCCTGTTGATGGCACTGATGTCTGTGCTCTTTTTTCCTGCAGCAGTGTTGGAGAGGGCTCTCGGGTTTGTGCTGCAGCCGGCACAGCCAGGCAGGAAGCGCTTGCACCTGTGGAGGAGCTGGTGCCCACCCCCATTCCCCTCCATCCCTTTCCCACCCCCCACACAGCTGGCCAGCACAGATGGAGCCCTCAGCAATCAGGGCTAGTAGCCAATATAAGTGAGGCAGAGAAAAAGGAGGCCCTTTTCAGGGGCTGTGGGTTTCAACTCTCTGAATTTTGACCTGAGGGTACTCAGCAGAGGTATTTTTTTTAACCTGTGCTAGTGGTATTTGTCTATTTATCATTGTTTCATTTGCAAGCAGGGAGTTTTGAGGTCTTGCTTCCTATTATTTCTGCAGTGTTTTCCTGTATTATTCCTTCAAGTTTTGCTGGGTGAAATCAAGTGGGTATGTCTGGCTCCTTGGAAATCCATTGAGTTGTACCGCCTTATGTTGCAAAACTCTAAGGAAACTTAATGGAAAGCTGGCTAGTGTTAAATTGCCTATACCTGATACTTTGATGTGTTCAGAAATTGTCTAAGAGAAAGCTTTCTTGTGGTGTTCTGGTATTCTCTTCTCTGGCCTCAGCTGGTGAAACTAGAAAACTAGAGCAGCAATTAGAAGAAAATCTTTGGTTTACACCTTACTCCCCTTAAAATGTACATAAAGCATTTGGCTATGATTTGCTTTTTCTGCAGGCATGGAGTTTGGTTGGGTAAACTGGGCATATAAGGTCCTTCTTACCTCTTACTAAAAAAAAAACCCCAAAAACTTAATGACCACTGTATTTTTATTTAGCTAAGCTCATGGCATAGGCAAAAAGCTTTCAAAGAATGCCCAGGGTTACTGCTGCTCCTGGTCTCACCAGCCCTGGAGCCGTGTGCCTGGGCAATGCTGTAGCCAGGGCTGTCTCACAGTGCTGTTCTCTTCCACAGCAGTGCTGGCTGCTCTGCTCCCCTGGGCTGCACGTCAGGGATGCTCTAACACCTCACAACTGCAACTGCCTCTGCTTCAGTCTTGGTCCTTTGGATAAAGACCCTATAAAGGCTGACTGAGGTAGGTGTTTCTCAGCATGTTCATTTGCAAAACGTCTTACAAAGCTTGCAGAAGAATTGTCAGAGGTATTAATCTAAGTTGTTTGAATGAGGTTTTGCTGTTTTGTTATAATGATCAGTTTTCTGGGTTTGGTTATCTGAAATGTGCTTGAGATACAGATGGTGGGGAGGAACAATTGAATTACTTTCAGTAAAACAAAAGTGCTTGATGAGAAGGAGTGCTGGTTGTCCCCACACAGGAGATGACAAATTATCTGTTTCTCTAAGTCCAGAAGGTAAACACTAGAGAAAAGCAAACCCAAATGTTGCATTCTATTTTTCAGGATCACAAACTACATATACTGATCAAGAGTAAGAATTTTATATGCTCCAGTTAAGAGGTTTCTTTAGTTCTTAGTGGAAAGACCTGGCTGTCAGCATTCAGCCCTTGGTATTTTGGGTTCCTTTTTCCTTGCCAATGTCTCTTGTGTACAGAGTTTTGCAGAGGGGTATGGAGACAGGAGCAGCCTTTTAAACATTTGACTGTGTTATATGGCAGTGAATATTCCCCTTCCTAGCTGGGATGTTAGGTCTAGTCTGTATGCCTGCTATACAGTGGGAGGATCTGAGGAGAAGCTTTTGGTGTGATGTGACTAACATGAGGAGTAGGAGCCTTGGTGTGCTGTTTAAATGGGTTTGCATTTAAGAATAATGAAACAGCTTTTTATTTCAAAGTATCAGTGTTATATGAAATCCCTGCTAATGGAAGCCCTATTATTTTCCTGGAGTGGGAATCATTTGGCCCTTCCATTGCAAGTGGGTTGGTCTCTTGACCTCATTCACACAGAGCAGGAAGGGGAAATGCCTCAGCAATGAAAAATGATGCAAGAGTAGTTTGATTGTTTTTGTTGATGCCATATCGTTTGTGTCCATCTACTTTGATTTTAAATATGGAAGTGTTATTTCTTTGAGGAATCATAGAGAATGTGGTAATAGGGAGCTAAGACTTTGTGGTTCTACTCAGCTTGTTTTCTTGTCTCAGTTGAGTGCTAAATCTGAGGTGTTTGTGGGTTTTTGGGAAGCCCCAGGTTTTCTGTAAAAAGAAAGGAGTATTTCAGTTCTGAGCTTGGATTCATGGCTTGTGTTTGCTATAGGAAAGTGCTGTAGCCAAATTGTAAGTGAAGAGCAGTATGTTTTATTTTTCAAACAAAAATTTACCAACAAGTTCTGAATATGTGCTTTCCCTTTCCATGGGGCTCAGCTGGGGATGTCTTTCACCATTTGATGAAATAGTCACTGTTTTCAAGGCTTCAGAACTGTACAATTCCTTGTCAACTCTTCTTCCATCATTGTCTAACAATGCACAAACATGGACGTGTTTTTGCTCTCTCTCATGTGGACTGAATGAGGACTCAATCCAGAAATCAGACTTGCTGTGTGATAGAAATGGTGTCAATATGGTGAAGATCTCCAAGTGGCAAATACACAGTGTGTTTTGTAGGGATGTCAGGCATAAAAAAATGTGTGCTGGTGTGTCTAATAAAAATTTTCTGCTTGTTTTAAAGGAAGGCGATCTCTTGTGTTAGAGGCAGGATACTGAAAATCCAAAGTTAATTTCTTAACACCCTTATTTTAACTTCCAATCACTACAGTATTGTCAGTCTCAGGAGAAAGGTACTTGCCACTGAACTTTGGCTGGGAGTGTGAGAAGAGCATTGCTAATACACAGCAAGCATTTAGTAGGTCTAGTTCTTGTTAACTTGTGTTTGCAAAGAATGGTGAATGTTATTTTTCACTAAAGCAACTTTCTGGCACATAAACTTTCCTATCCAACCAAAGGCTACAAGTGTAATTTGATTATAGAAGGTTTTCCTGGAGAAGGAATAGGCTGTTAAAAGCAGGAGCTGGCACCATTAACCCGAGGTGTCCCACTAGCAGTGGAGAGCTGTCACCCTGATGTGACCAGACTGCAGTGGAGAGTCTTCTTCCCATGGTCTGGGTCACTGCTGTGGTAGGGCAGGTTTGCTCCTCAGGAACCAGACTGTGGCTGGCCAGGCCACAACCAGGAACCCATTGCAGCTGGGAATAAATTGTCAAAGGAAGGAATGTTCAAGAAAACCATGCCACGCTCTTGCTGGGTTTTTTGCAATACTTTAATACAGCATTAAAATGCTAGAATACTAGAGGAAAGCTGTATACTATCCAGCAAATAAGGCACATGTCGGAATGCCATTTTATGGACAATCCACAACAGAGGTTTTACAGTCTCAGTAGCAACACAGTCACCAGATGAGCAAGCTGTCATCTTGATTGCTGAAACAGAACTGCTACCTCTGAGGCCTTTGTCCATAGGTTTTGTCTGTTTTAGCTGTACAAGTTTATTAACAGTTACAGAAAAAGAAATTACACAATTTGCCAACTGAATCTGACAAGGTCAGTAAGTACAGTTAAACAAATGTAATAATTGTTAGGCTAGTTTTTTTTAAAGCTGAAGAAATTCATACAATAGTGTTAGTTTTAGCACTATTACACAATGCAGTGAGTGCTGTACTAAATAACCTTTTAAAGGAAACAAGAATCCAGTATAGGGCTGGGCAGACCTCCCATTTTAGCATGGTAAAATATCAAACTAAAAACTCAATCCTTCATAATATAATCAAACTACATGAAATGTAAAGTGTAAAATGCTTCGAATACGTGCACATGCATATTCTATATTGCTATGAGTTCTAATTAAAATAAACGTAAACCCCTACAATAATCTACTTCAATCCTTTTCTCTTACATCCTTTGATTGATATTATTGCTGTAGATGATACTGCATAGCTGAGCTCACAGTCTGCAAAGAGTTGTGAAAGTCAAGTTAAACAGTGTCCCAACCAACTTTCTTCCCCTCTAGTTATGGGGAAGCAAAGAGCCACCATTTGAAACCCACCACTTGTGCTTCGGAGTTTCTGGAAGCTGAGTCTCCACGGTGCTTCCAACACCTTTGTGTCTCTCACAAGGCCATAAAGTGACAGTATACTGTTATTTGCTCCTCACTTGCTACATGTCTAGTGATAGCTTTTCTAGCACTCGTTCCCCAAATACACATAAATAAACCGATAAGCATTTTCATATAAGTCTAAGCACTTGAATAATACACTGGTTACTTAATACTGATATTTTCATCCAAGGATAACAAAAACAATATGGCTTAAAGAATTGCAAGGTTTTTTGTCAGAATTATGTACCAACTTTCATATAATATTTTATGTAGACAATATTTCCTTCTTAATGTAGTTCTGTTGCATACTTTATACAGACAAAAGCATTGTAAAAAAAAAAAGTAAATTATTTCCATAAATATTTTCTTGAGGATACATCCTTAGTTCTGCAAAATACTGCAAAATACTTAAGAAAACTCTTACCTCTGTTAGTATCCTAGTTGAGAGGAAGGCCCTTCTGAAAGCTTCCCAATTGTAAAAACTTTGCCCAAAAAACAAACAATACTTTTTTAAAAAGGCCCTCAAATATATACAAAAAAGTTACTGCAAAGAGTTTCCCGATAACAATTCAGTATTATAAGAAATATTTGTAACCATTCAAAAATTTTAACATCTAGAAAGGTTTCCAAAATACACACATAGTATTAAAAAAAAATTGAAAGAAACTCTATGTCAAGTATAACTCAAGATAAATACACATCTGCAAGTAAAACTGTAAAATACTTCATACAGGGGTAAACATTTATATCAATCATCTATAGCTAGTAACTGCACACGATTGTCCCTTTGAAATTCATCCTAGAAACACAATCCATCATCCCTATATCTAAGATCTCAAACAGCCCTCTGAGCACTTGAGCGATACAGCAAACTCTATGGACAGCACTGGTTTTGTAGATAAGAAAGAGATATGGGTGGAAGCCCAGTTGGGAGTGGAGTGATAGCTGAAAGAATGATTTTTCTATGGGGATAGTTCAATCACATTTTAAAATATGTTGGCAAAGGCAAGTGGAAAATACATGTCTATCTACTTAACTTGAAAAACATGTGTTGATGATTTATTGCTTACTGTTCAGTGGACAACTCTTAGGATCCAGAATAGGACAAAAAAAAAATATTCATTGTAGCTGCAGGACAAAGATGACTAGTCTATGGAGTCTGATATTTCCAAAAGCTCTAAACTTTTAACGTTTTAAGTAGGTTTTGGGTTTCTTTTTTTCTTTTTCTTTTAAAAAATGCTAGAGTGTCACAGGTATAAAATCCATGTATAATCTAAATTTCATGTTATATAAAAAGGTAAAATGTAGATAATACTTCTAGGTATAAGGCTTCTCTCAGACATACGTCAACTTCACATTTTTAGTTTAAAAACTAAGTCCCATATAATGGGGAACTTCAAAATACACCTATTTTCAGAAATAATATATACTCTTGTGTATTTATCTGACATTAAATAGCAACTTTGAGACAAAAAATGCCTCAAATTTTGCTTGTGTGGCTTCATTTTACATCTGTGGTAGCAGCAGTAGGAAGTGGCTAAAATGGGGCCATCCTTTAAACTACTAGGATATTTCTTCATCTTTAAATGAAGTATTTGCAATAACTTCATTGCAGCCTCATTAGGTTAAGGCAGCTAAAAACCTATGACACATCTTTCAAATTATTCAAACATTTTTCCAGAGGCGTGCCAATGCCAAATTCGATATGAAATGTTATGACCAACTCATGAAACAGATTGTGGGGTGTTTATATTTTGATTGTTTTTTGTTGTTGGTTTTAAAGAAATAAATGGAAGTTTAACCAAAATCTCAAAAAAGGTGAAAATTTAAAAAAAAAGTAGAATAGGACAGGCTATACTGGTGGGCTGTCAACAGTAAACATCTGAGGTTGAAAATCCAGTTTACCAAATACATGCACAGAGCCAAACTGCTCTCAGGTACAGCCCTAAAAAATACTCAGTTTAGGGAGGCCTGTATTGATTTAAAACTCTTTTTATTGATGCTTGCTTCACTCCTGCTAATACTGTCTACTAATGCCTTCAACTGATTGCTAGCTGATGCTCCCAATGCAGAGCTAGTTAGAGAACATCAGAAGGCAGTCACTAAATTTTAAAAGATAAATCAATTCCTCAGTTTTCCACTCAAAAATCTGCACCTTCACTTTTTTTTTCTGGTTTGGAGAGAGCTGGTTACATCTATAGGCGAATTACCTTCGGGTGGGGAGGGAGTAGAAATAATCTATATTTTGTAATCAATAGTCCTTTTTTCCCTTTGAAATAAGAACTCAGAAATGTCCCTTCTGCGCCACTAACTAAAAGCCAATGGTCATAAGCTGCTATTCACAATTATGTGGATGTGTTTTTCCAGCACCTCCCACTGCACAGACTCGATTGTGGAGCGAATGCTCGAGCCCAAAGCTCCAATCCGGCAGCCAAGCCATGCGGGGAGGGATGGAGGGATGCCCCGGCCGGGCTCGGCATTGCTGCCATGCGGGGATGGACAGAGGGATGCCCCGGCCGGGCTCGGCATTGCTGCCATGCGGGGATGGACAGAGGGATGCCCCGGCCGAGCTCGGCATTGCTGCCATGCGGGGATGGACAGAGGGATGCCCCGGCCGAGCTCGGCGCTGCTGCCATGCGGGGATGGACAGAGGGATGCCCCGGCCGGGCTCGGCATTGCTGCCATGCGGGGATGGACAGAGGGATGCCCCGGCCGAGCTCGGCATTGCTGCCATGCGGGGATGGACAGAGGGATGCCCCGGCCGAGCTCGGCGCTGCTGCCCTGCCCGGGCCGGCTTCAGGCAGGGGTTCAGCCTGTGCAGGGACCCGGTGCCCGCTGCCACCCGCGCTGCCAGATCTGCGCCTCCGCCTTGGGCAGCACAAAGCACCGCAGTGTCCCCCCTTGCTTTTCACACCTTGTGCTCTTCATCTGCTTTCCCCCAGCGCCGGGGCACGGGGAAATCTGCTCTCCTCTTTGTTACAGATGTGCTAAGTATCACTTTAATACTTTATATGTCTTCTGCCTAGGAACACATGAATAATATAAATACTGAACTCTCATAAGTGTGCTCTCAAGAATTATTGTGCTACACCTATAGACATTGTGTTAAAGTAGGTCACGTGTGTTTTTAGTACAATCTACAAATTCATAAGCTAAAGGCATTGCCCTGCAGTGTTGAATCTGGATAAACAATTCTTAATAGGGCACTGTAATGAAAATACCAATGCTTATAATAGTGTCTTTTAGTCAGCTTTTTATCAGAACCTGCTGGTGTGTGATATAGTGATACAGCTATATCAAGAGTTGTGCTATTTTACTGATTTTAGTGGTTATCATAACAGGGAGATTATTTCAGTGCTGAACAAAATGTTTGATAGCAACACCTTAGTTTCAGGAAGAAAATAAAATAACGTTTTCCCTTATCTTCATCTAAGGGGGTTTTTCTACATGTTCTTTAGCTAGATGTGAACCATCTAGGTCTTTTTTTTTTTTTTTGTTCCTGTACTATTAAGTGCTCAAGAGGAAAAAATAGATCTGGTTTAAAAAGCTGCTCTTTCAAAATTACTCATGCTTGAAACAAACGATTGAGATTAATCCTAGAGGTCAAGCTTAGAAAATCCACCCCTAGATTTGCTTGTGTATTTTCTTATTTGTATAGACAGATTAGTATCTTTGTTGAGAGAATTTGTCTCTAAGTTAATTTGTGGATCTGTGCAAAAGAATGTGTTTGCATTTCAAAATGCTAAAACTGCATCTCTTCACTAAGGCAACTGAACTGTTTATTAGTGTTACTTTCAATAACATTATTTTCAGCTATTTTAGTTGGAGTTGCTAACTGGGCAAAAGTAGTTTCCAAGTGATTAATTTAGTTAATTATATTTTAGCATTACATAGCACTTTTCATCCAGTGATGCCAAAACACTTAAGAGATATTAAGTAAACCTCACAACTCTCCTGTGAGGTAGGTATGCTAAAGTATTATTACCCCCTTTTTGCAGCTGGGGAAACTGAGGTCCAGAAGGATCTTGTGACTTGCCCAGAATCAGGGAGCTATGGGAGAGCTGTGGTCAGAAGCCAGGAGTCAGGATGCTTGTCCATTGCTGTGAGCAGCAGGCCGGGGCACTCGGGCTGCCCGTAAATAATGGCATTTGCAAGAGATGTACCTGCCACTCCCACCAAACAAGCAGATGCAATTTTGCCCTGCTTACAGCAAAGCAGGTGAATGCTTGTGATAAGTTTTCCACTTTCTTTATAAGAGCTTGTCTTGACATACTGGTAACACCCTGCTATCACTTGGCATAAACCCCCCACTGTCTCTGCATTACAGAACTAGTCCTCAGAACACATTTAGTTCACATCAAGTTATTTAGGATTTAAAGTGTTTTCTCTAAGTATCATTCACACAAATCAATCTCCCTAAAGGAAACTTCATAAAAATGTAAATTGCTGATGTAAACCCCCCCCACCTCAAACAGTCATCTAATTTTTTTAGTGAATGCTACAAATTAATTGCTTGTTGTGTCCTTTTGCCAATGTACTCTGACGTAGCCATACAAACATGATACTATCTCGAGGTACTTTCAGTTTATATTTGCCAATCCCTGACGAGATGTTCTTTGCAGCAAGCTGTCCCTGTGCAAAGTTCTACCTGAAATGGGACAATGAAATATAATTCCTAAATTTCTACCCAGGTATGTGGGTCTTCTTCAGGAAGACATAAAGAAAGAGGGTTATATATAGAGTGTTCTCCATGCCTTAAAACACCCCTATGGCTAACATGTTTCATATTATAACAAATTTCTATAGTAGAAAACAGGACATAAAAATATTTCCAGAAAGTGGCTTTTAAACTACTATAAATAGTAAGTTTGGCTAATCTTTCAGTTAAGGGTATTGGGGTCAGTTTTAAGTATTCTTATCCCCTTATTCATAGTAAATTTAGTGTGCTTGTGGCCTAATGAACAGGCCATGCACATAGAAGGGGCCATGTCAGTGGGTTTATATGACAAGAAAAGGATCTGGTAGTTGCATAAGCAAGCCAATTTTATCTCCTCCAAAAACCTCTTGGAATCTTATGGCATTCCCTTCTTACCCAACCCACACCCCTCAAACAATTATTCACTTTTTTTTCCATGTCCTGCAAAAATTATTTTGTCTAAGCCCTGCCCAAGAGATGGTAACAAATAGAAAAAAAGTCCAAGAAATCAGCAGCACAAAACTCTTAAGACTTCCTAAAACTGGGAAAGCAGTAATTCCCCTTTTATGCTGTGGCTTGTTTCATCTTCCTTTGTCTTGTCATATAATAAGAATAGTGATTGTGTTGTGGGTGAGTGCTTACAATTAGTGGCCCCACAGTTACTGAATCTCTGCAAAAGCCATACATGTAACAAATATTCCTTGTGAATATTATTCCTTGCCTTTTGAAAAGTACTTCATTTCACCTGGCTGTGATATAGGGTCTGTGTAAACAATCAGCAGAACCTGTAACTGTAGTTCTGTAGTGAACATCATCAGTAACACCTTATGTGTGTACATATATAAATTTACATATATATGTATACAAATCATAGTCCTGTAAATACCTATTGCATGCATGCACATGCACAGGAGAAATGTTACATTCTATTAATGGTAAGGCATATTATTAGATAGGCAATATTGGCAATTCTTTTAGCTTTTATCTTGATCTGTTGTGCTGCTGTTGATCACATGCTGCCAGAGAATCTCTAAGGATGATGGGGATGGGAAGAGGCCACTTTGACGGTTTATTGCACTCGGCGGCAGTAGTAGCCCAAAACTTTGCACTTCTCACACAGATGCTGAGGATGTTCTTTGCTCTGGTCTGACACATCCAGGCCGTCCGGCTTTTCCAGGGGTCTCTGCAGTTGCAGGAAGGAAATCAGATTAGATCTAATGTTTTGTCCTTGTTACTCTTTATTAAGGATGAGAAGTCTACTTTTATGCCCTAAGTGAGCTTTGTACTGGTAATTGAAAAAGTACTATGTTTCTTTCCTGAAGGTATGGAGTGATTTTTTGCAGCCCTTCAGCTCTACACTGGTTCAGAGTGACCTTCCAATTTAATGTCAGTGTTCATAAAGGTGGTTTTAACTTTGTTGCAGACAAATTACAAAAATACTGAATTGAGAACTTCTTTTATAAAAAGTAGTAAACAAAAGAGTTCATTTGCTTAGCTCCAGTAGCTTAGATGTCCCAAAGGCATTAACACCTAAATCATGGGAATCCCATTACCCGGCAATGCAGAGCAGGGATTATCAATGTTAGGACTAGCTGCTACATGAAGAAAACTGTCATAACTATGCACAGATACTACGTAGCTAAATGGTGCTTTCCCAATAGATAGTCCCATGTTTTTGAGGCTGAAAGTTTTGAAGCAGAGCAGCTGCAAAGCTTTTAATAAAACTTAAAAAATTCCAAACTTATACAAAGCCAAAACAAAATCCAACATTGTGACACAATCCTTTGCACCGAATCTGCGTAATAAATTATGTATTTTTAAAAACATTCATGAAATCACAGCGTTGGAGGAAATTAAGCTGATTCATTGTTATTAGGTATTTGTGCTTTCACTTTTCATGACATGTAAAAGGCCTCACAGTTATTCTGGAAATAAAATACCTATGTTAAATATTGTGACAAAGTTAAAGGTTTGGGAAGTCTAATAGGTAGGAAAGTGATAGAGATGCGAGGTAGAAGTTAATAAAGTGCACCATTTGCTTGGAAAACACTCCCAAGTTCCCTAACCCATAATTTATGTGTTTTCATGAAATGAATTTGAAAGGCTGTTTCATTTCACAGTGCCATGAAGGCAGCAGCTCTTCCATGGGACTGTGGTAGACACAGCATGTGGTGTGAAATCTGAAAACTAGCCATAAGCTTCTCACTGTTTTCACAGGGATATTAGACCCTTGCTTATATCTTCAAAATGTGATTCTTGGAGCAGTGGGTGGGTAAATAAAAATTACACCATCGTGGCCATTTATGCCTTAACACCTTTCTTAATCTTAAAGGCTTTTCTTCATCTGTAAGGTCTTAAAGTACACCTGATCATCTAAGATTTCATTTATTCTTTGTCAAGCCACCTATCTGAAACTCTGTGGACAGGAAGAGAGATATTTAAAGCTCTTTTTTTGGCTATGTAATACTGCAAGAACTGCTCATAAATTGGGGAGTAGAAAGGTTTCTCTCTCTGAATAGCTAAAATGACACAAAATACAGTCTATCATCGTGATTTTAAGTGCAACACTCTTATTATGTTGCACAGCTAGTCAAAGCAATATATAGGAGTGACTCAGTAGTGATTGTCAATAGTTTGTTTCTGATTCAGTGTTTTGAACCATGATATTTTCCTGCACCACGTAGGTCTTTGAGTCTAACTTCATTTACTAACTGTGAAGTGGATTTCCTGTGTCAGATGAGGAAGGTAGTGTACTCTTCATCTCCAAATGCCCTGCAACCCTACCGAGCTTTAAATGTTTGATGTCACTGTGTTGAGATTTGGGATCAGAAAAAGCAATTCTGTTTCTAGGCTTGCAGTCCAAGCACTGGTCCAGGTACTGCCTATTCCACAAGACAGGCAAGTTGAATAGGTATGTTTGGTCAGAAAACTGCATTTCTACCTCATCTACCACTTATTCCACCAACATCTGCCCACAAATACTCTTCAAGAAATTGCATTACATAAATATACAAAGATGAAGTGCAGGTTCTGGAGTCCCAGGGGTTAATTTACACTCTTCCACAGCGAATGAGAGTTTTGAAATGCTACACTTGAAACAGGCTATTTGACTCAGCTCTGATTGCTTCTACATGCTAGCTGTGCTCTGATTAAAGAGAAAAATACAGCAGTTATCATGTTTATTGATATAAGCCAGATTTTTTTTTTTTTAATATGCGAGGCCTTGGGAATCATTTTTCCTGGAAATAGTGCAAAGGACATTGGGAATGCCTTGAAGCGCCAAGAGTTTTTGGATGGTTTTCAGAAACAATAGCTCTCCGTAGTTTGCTTTCCCCCTGCGTTGATTGAGCTCAGCTTTTTGGCCTGCAAAGCATTTTGATTTCAGAACTGTTATTGTTACCAGTATGTTAGGACACAGGCTGGGGAGAGAGGGGTTACAAATGCAGGAAAGCAGGTTGCCAAGGGCCAGCTGGAAGGCATGAAGCCGTGCAGAGCCCAGACTGCATTTCTGGTGAGGTGGTGGAGGGCTGAGGCTTTGAAATCGGTAGTGTACTGGTGTGGTTTGTGTCTCAAAAAACCATTTCAACCTAACTTTTGCACAAAATGAAATCCCAGCTTACCTCCATTTGCCGTTCTCTCTTCATGGTTTTGTAGAAAGGCAAAAAAGAACCCCTTAATCACTCTGAGTAGCAAGTGTTCTTGTCCTGCTGCTGTCTGTTACTAATTGAGGAGAACCTAAAAGTAATACCCAAAATGAAATCCCAGCTTACCTCCGTTTGCCGTTCTCTCTTCATGGTATCTTGTAAAGGCAAAAAAGAACCCCTTAATCACCCTGAGTAGCAAGTGTTCTTGTCCTGCTGCTGTCTGTTACTAATTGAGGAGAACCTAAAAGTTCTCCTCATTCCACCTTATACTCTTGGAACCATTCCTACACCATGCTAAAAGTCTAGGATGTTAGTCCCAGAGCTGGGAAGGAGAGGACACTGGCACAAGGGTGTGCAGCAGGACCTGGCTGTTGTACACTATGTCAGCTCTGGGGACTGCCTGAATTCTGCAGGAGACACCGGTAACTGAGGAGGCTGCAAGAGCCCTGCACTGCTGCTGAGGACTCAGCCATGCACTTGGACAGGGTGTGGAGAAGGGGACAGGCTATTTGGCTGAAAAGTTAACTCCTTTCCTTAGAAAGCAGAGAAATGGGTCTTGTAGAACAACAGTAAATCCTGCTATGTTCCTCAGGGGAAAGGTATCTTATTTTCCATTAAATGGAGAGTTTAACTGTAAAAGTTAAATTTTGTTGTGTTTTTTTGTTTTTGGTTTTTTTTTTTTTTGTTTGGTTTTGTTGTTTTTTTTTAATGCAAGCATCCGCAGTTGGATTCTTCCGGACTTCACTTTAGTGCTTGTAGAACAACAGTAAATCCTGCTATGTTCCTCAGGGGAAAGGTATCTTATTTTCCATTAAATGGAGAGTTTAACTGTAAAAGTTAAATTTTGTTGTGTTTTTTTGTTTTTGGTTTGTTTTTTTTTTTTAATGCAAGCATCTGCAGTTGTATTCTTCCGGACTTCACTTTAGTGCATCTTTGTTTAATTTTCTCCTGGTAGTTGTGGGGTGGAAATAATCTTGTGCAGCTCCACCAGGAAAGCATTTGATGGTGGTGAATAAAGATATTGCTGCAGGTGAATGAAGCTGACAAATTCAAATTTATATATAAATTCCTGACCTGCGAATTAACTTTTGACTATGAGTTATTGCTGTCCCAGTCTAGATGTACTGCACGACCTCTGCATTCCCCAACAGTCAGCTGAAACCCCAAAGCTCTCCATCAAAAAACTCACCTTTATGAAGTGTTAGTGTTAAAGAAAGCATCACTAGGACATCTTGAGGGCAATTACTTCCACTAAGGTGTAAATGCAATAATGTGCCTACTTCTGTTTGTATTTTCTGCTGTGGAATGGAACAATTTAATTGCACCACTGATGGATAGAGGATGACATCAGAATTCAAATGAGAGAAAACATTTTCAAATAATTTTCTGGACTCATTTACATCAAGTCTTAATGCAGCAAATAAGATTATTAAATGTCAGATTAGGAATGTGAACAGAAAGATTCTGCAGCTATTGCTGGCACGATAATTGTAAGGTTAACAGTCTTAAGGAGCCATGCTTCCCTTAAGAAACATGCTATCATGAATTTGTCAATTTTTAGTCCAATAAAAAAAAATTGGGCACTGGGGAAGAAAAGATTAAATGCTATGTCCATTCTTGAGCAGCAGACCCTCTGCTTTTCTATCTGCCTGGGGGAAGAGGAACATTTCCAAGGCCCTGGGCTGTCGCCATGCATCCAAGAGACAGTGATAAGAAGGCAGCAGATCAGAGGCAGGATGCTTGAGAGCATGCAGCCTCTGTCAGCAGCATGCCTCTGGGACAGGCCAGCTAGGAATGAATGATAACAGCATGAGGTAAATGGTAAAAATCTCTTGTTTAAGAGTTCAGAAAAGCAGCAGTCTGAGGGGAACTGTATTCCCAAAGCTGGAGTACACAAACATGGGCATGCTGAGGAGGGTTTATTAAATCTAAAGAGTCAAAAGATCATACTTGTAGGCTTGAAACTGTTGAAAAATTTATTGGCCTTGAGTGATCATACCCACCACTCTCCATACTGAGGGAAGTGAGGTGGCTGTGGTTGCACTCAGATATGGGAATTATGATGAGACCACTGAATTGCCCATGAAAATAATAACTTGAGTATCATGAGGTATGTATTTACATACCAAATTATTTCCAGTCCAACAGTAAATTCCTGACAGCTGGAAGAAAATAGTGTCCAAGAGGACAAATCAGTCACCAGATGGCTGGTTCTGCACCAGTGCAACAGCTGTCATCACAAACAGCACTGGCCTTAGCCACAAAGTCGGAGAAGAAGCCTTGATAAGAGGCCAGCCAGGAAATAACCATGGGCGCAGATGTTGCTGCTATAGTAGCAGGGGAAGAGAATGAGGATTCAGAGCTTGGCATCTGGGCTGTAACACTGCCAGGGATGCTGGTGAATGACTTTAAGGACTGGCTCCGTTGCTGAAGCAGGGTAAGAAGGAGCATAAACAACCACAAAATCCAAATTCCTTGGAAGAATAGGTAGAGGTTTAATTCTTGTCTGAGATTCCTGTTTATGTTTAGAGTTCAAGTTACTACCTGGGAAGCAACTTTCGAAATTGCCATAGAGCAGGTTTGTCTGGGTAGTTCTGTAGCCTCCAGTAAGGCTTGAGCTCAGTGGGCCTATGTTTTTTGCCTCATGTTCTGTGCATTCCTATAAGCACTCCCATGGGAAGGTTTGTCACTTCAAGGAGTGGTGAAAATGCAGAAGGAGGAACACAGTGGAATAATTTAGCAAAACTTGCTTGAGGAGCAGTTTTGCAGCTCGGGTGTGACAGCCACCTGATTCCCTCCTTGGTGGATGAGTTGGGGAATGAATGGCAGCAGCTCTCCTGTCAGGCCCTTGTGTTACTTCTTGTAAGACATGCTCCACCATCTCTTTTAAATACGGAGATTTAGAGCTGTATTTATAGAGCACTCTAAAGTATATACACAGCTGTAAAATGCTGAGAAGACTTTTCCTGCCCCAGAGAGATTAAAAGCTCATTCTCACAGTTAGGCCATGTGGACTAAGAGCATAGGGCTGAATTGAGTAATTCCTTGTGGGGAACTGGCCCAGGATAGTTTCCTGGAATGAAATGAGCCTCCAGGAACAATGAGCAGGTGGCAGGAAAGTGTGGCTGCTCTCCTCTCCAGGGACTCACTAACGAAAGGTATGCATAGGAAATCAAGATTTGAGCATAGCTGCACAAGCCATTCACAGAGCCAACATATGTGCTTGAATGGCTACCCCAGAGCTATGCAGAGTGGAGATTATTATCTTCAGTACTCTGATATTATTGCCTGAGCCAGTTATATGGGAGTACTTCAGCACCAAACCATTCTTTATGAGACATGGACAGACCTTACAGTGCTGGGAAGTCCATGGATTTGGGAAAATGGCTGGGGAAGATGAAATACAGCTATGGAGATGAGGATGGGAGAAAAGGGCAAGCCCAGCAAGTGAGAAGAAACTCTTAATTCACTGCAATGATAAATATTAAGCAATTCTGAAATATGGTTTTCAAATTTTTGTCCTAAATTGGACACAAGCATCCTACTCTCCTACAGTGACACAGCAAGGCTTGGTGGCCCATGTGGCTGGATTTCAGCTCTTTAATAGACTCTGCAAGGTTTGATCTGTTTGGTGACAAACTGGGAGAATGCTGAGATAGTCACTAGGCCATACAAGGGGCTGGTGAAGTATCTTCAGGGGTGATTGTTTTTTCTTGTCTATACACACACACCTTTCTGGAAGTGTCTGCCACTGCCTAGGATGAGGTGCGGAACAGGGGGGATTAATTTGACCTGGTGTGAGTTTTCATGATGAATATACTGTCTGCAAACTTTCTATCATAGGCCCTCACCAGGGAACTGTGGTCCCTGAATGTTTTAGATATGGGCTGAGATGTTTACAGTTTTTATAGCTTTGGAAGTTTTTGGGGGTTTTTTTGTTAGGTTACAATTATGTGATTACCAAATGGTAGGGCAAAGAGTAAGAATAGGAGATGATGAATTCCAGCACATTGCTGAAGAGAAATTGACAAGATTGCCTGAAAGGAGAAACAATTTATTTCACTAGAAGTAAATACTGTCTGATCTTGAAAGGAGGTCAGACTTCTACAGGTCATCTGCTCTTTGTTAAACTGAGGAAAAAACTCAATTTATTGATTATTTGTACTATCATAAATCATATCGCATATTGCGGTGACATTGCTGTTTTGTAGTGTTTGCGTGCAGTTTTCTTTAATTGCAACACTATTTTTTTCAAATGGAGTTAAAATGACACAAGAGAATCATGGTGTGTAGGGGGAGGCAAGGTATTTTCTCTGGTGAATTATTTAAGTTGGAAAACCTGTCTAGTGGAAGATTCAGATGAGAATACATTGATCCCATATAATAAATGCAGAAGGCACACATAATTAACTGAGGACATCCACTGAGAGGGAAGTAAGGGCTTAAAAACTTCTAGAAATGCATACAAAATCAAACATGAATGAGGCCTCTGCTACGGTAGGTACCAACAAGATAATCAAAATATAAAGAATAAATAGGAAACATATCTAGAAAATGTTAAGGTGGTAGTGTTATTAAAAAAAAACCATATTAATGCACAAGACTTTTTTGTGCTTTAATTCTTAAACTAGAAATATTGAAATCTAATGAAATTGTTCACTGTGCTTTTAAAAAATACAGTTTTTGGTGTAAGAGTACCAGTGACTAGGTATAATATAGATATTTTCCAAAATGGGGCAGAATAGCTCCCCGCTGATAAGTGTTGATTAATGTTTAGAGAGTCTGGTGTGGCACTGGATGCATGTGCAAACACCACGTATGGGATAGCAGACAGGAAGCTGTGCCAAGAAGCACCACAGACCTCCTGCAGCCTGGTAGCTCTCTGCTGCTGCTGGCTCTGTGCATGAACTGATGCTGTTCCCTTCACTGTCTGCCTGCTGCTGTTATGCTTAATCAGAAGCAGCACAGGGCACCTCTGGAAGAATGAAAAGGACTAGAAAGGATGACAAGGGTAACACTGAGAAATAGAAGCAGATGGAGGTGAGGCAGTGACAAAAGGACAGAGAATCTTTCAGCTTGAGGTTCAAAGTTCACATTTTGAGGAAGTGCACTAGTGACTGGTTGCAAGTTATTTAAATTGGGAAGCCTAGCTGAAATGCATTCTTGTCTTGAAAATCTCAGATAACTGAGATAACCTGCTGCTGGGACATGAACACACAGCCACGTGCTCTTCCACATCCATGAGTTATGGTGTGCTTAGGGAATAGCATGGAAACGGTGATGGGGTTGACTGTGGAGAGCTGCACTGCAGATTTCAACCCTCCCACAGTGTGTGTCTGACTTCAGTATTGCTGTGCAGACTGGACTCCTCCAGCTCTGCAGCTCTGGACTACTTGCGAAACTTTATTACAAAAATGTACACTTCTAAGCCTATAATGCCTCCTGTACAGTGTGGATGGGATACCTCTGGAATGATTTCTTGACCCTTTGAACATCGACATAAATGATGGAAAGAACAACAAGGTAATTATTTATAAACTTGTGCTATCAATGGTCCTGTAATTTCTCTCACCCTCAAGACCGTACTTCTATGCATGTGGTGACTTAGCCTGGATTTTGGATTTTTTAGACAAGCTGTCTATACAGAGGTAAGGAACAAGAGGCGTTGGAAGCTCTGAGGTTTTTATGTTAGGTTAGTGTCATTAACCAATTAATTTTGTAGGCAGGAGTCATCTTAATATTGTTCTCCTTTATCACTACTCTTTGTAAGTAGCAAGCGCCCCTTGAGAAAATCCAACAAGTGAAAAAAGCAGTACACATGGGAAGTAACTCTGCTGACACCAGTGGAATGAAACAATAAATTGGTGTAAATATGAAGGGAATCAGAAGAACTAGAAGGCCAATTGCTATTGCTGAACTTTTTTTACTCTAAGATTAAAAAGCCCCATAGTTTCTTTCTATAAGAAAGTCAAAAGTTTTGAGTTTGAGGTATTTGTACTGAAAGAAAGAACATTCAAATTTTGCAACTCTGATGACACCTGTTCAGATTTCCAGGACTGAGACAGCTCATCTGGGAAACATTCTCTGTGGTGTGTTGCAGTCAAGTTCTTTTTAAGTCTTACCCACACTTTACAAAGTCAACAGCATTCCTAGCTCCAAGCCTGTTGCCATTGTAAGTCTGCATTTCTCCTACCTGTTTGTGAGGATAAACATTAATGTGGCACTTGATACATTCTTGTCCCATGTTAGCCCAGGAGTTTCCACTCATCCATTTTCTCTTGCATTTGGGGCACTTGTATTCACCAAAGCAGCGTTTCTTGCCCTGGTATGGTGTGAGGCCTTCTCCTTTTGGACGAGCCTACAAAACAAAGGGAAGTAGCAATGAATGACTGAAAACGGATGGGTGTAGTAGAAAAATAAACATTTTTTAAATTAGGAAACATTGGGCAGAAGATATTGGAGGCAAGCATGAAGGACATGTCCCTTTAATGGAGAGTTCATGTGTTGAAGATAGAATCTAACAGTTCTGAGAGTGGTTTCTGTAAGAAATATTCAAAAGTTCAAGAAAACACAATACTTGTTAGTGACAGTGTTTAGAAATATACCCTTTCTCTTTTTGAATAAATAGTTTTAATGTTAGTTTCATTATGATAAAATCACCTCTATTGAGTATATATCACTAGTAATATATATATCATCAGGAGGAGTAGTTCATTACTAATAAAGGATGACTTTTAAACTAGAAATTCCAGTTTAGAAATCTAGTCTATTTTCCACTAAAAACCTGTAGTTAAGAAAATTTTTAATAGTTCTGCTTTTCTCAGCCTATATGTTATCATATAGAAGTGCGCAAACTGGGATTGAGTACAAAGGAAAGACATTCTGAGTAGTGGAAATAATAACTTGCACTAACTTTATCTGGTTTCTGGCTCTTGGTAAATGGTTTCACTATTTCTGCCTTTTGAAGGAAACAGGAAAGGATTGTCAAATGGTGTGTTGTAATGTCTGAATGTTAAATGTCCCTTAAAGAAAGCCTTTTTATCTAGAGAAGCCAGTAGAGTTGACAGTGACCGTACGCAAATATCAGGTTTATTTTTTTGTATATGCATTCATTCACTAAAATTGTGTGTTGTGCTTAACAAAATATGGTGAGGTATGTGAAGATGAGGGTGTTGCATCCAGCTGTGCTAGGATGGCTGTAAAGATGAAGTTTTCCCAGAGTCCCTAGCAGGTGTTGAAACACTGTCCATGTCACCATGTTTAGTTTGTTGCTGCCTAGAGGGAGATTCTTTGCCTGTATAGTGGCAGTGTACTGTGATCACCTATCAAAGGGTTCTTTGTCACTTACATACATGTCAGGCCTAAGCAGCTTTTCTTTTTTAAGGCTTCCAGATAAAGTTTACAAAAGTGAAATGAGCCATCATGCTGGGAAGGCATTTGTTTTTGTTTTGGGAGTTTGTACGATTTCTCAGTGTGTAGGTCCAAGTTGCTTTCTATGTGAAAACACGGGTTGCAAAAGCAGGTGGTTGGCAGAAGACCTGAGCTTGGCAGGAGCTCTGAGACTCAGGCTCCAGTGGCTGATGGAGATGGTGAACACTGTGTTACCTCCTGGGTCGCGTGTGGGAGCAAGAAGGGAAAGGAACATTGAGTGCGCTCTCCCCCGCATGCTGTGGGTGGAAGAGCAGGGGACACCAAACCCACTCCAGCCTTTATTTTTCTGTCTGTAGTGTCAGTAAACAACATTCTCTGGTTTTTTTTATGCTCATTCCTCAGCATAGCAATATTCTTTAGAAGATCAGATTAGTAGCAACCTCCATTACAAAAAGGCAAACATCCACAGTAATTTGCTTCTGACAAGCCACTGGAAATAGTCTAGCTAACCACAAAGATAAAGCTGACCAGGACACACATATTTGCAGTAGTATAGCACAAAAGAAAAAATAGTGCATTGATATAGTGAGAAACATTGAGACTTCCACAACTGAGTGCGTGCTGGCAGGCACTCAAGAGTGTAGCTCTTCGACCCATGGTGTCCCTTGATAAGGATGAGAGATTGCAAATGAATGTAGTGCAGAAAAATGTCAATTTAGGAGACATCCTTATTCTGGATACTTTATTTGGTTCTGCCTCTGAAGAGCTTGTACAACAACTCAGTGTAAGAAGAAGCCACATGCTCTCTTCATTTAGAAATTCTTATGAAATTGAACAGAAACCCTATGTCCAGAGAGCTCCTGTGTTTTAGAGACCTGCCCTCTCCTCCTGAAGCATCACAGGTTGTTTTATTTGCAGTTTCTAATAGGGGGGTATTATTGAACAGAAGACAAATTATTTTTGATTCTCTGATTAAGTCACCCTCTATGTAAACTCCTCCTGCAGCCAGACTTGAAAATGCAGCCTAGTGACCTTACCAAGCAGCAGTCCTTTCAGAAAATGTGCAGATCACAGGGTTCATTATTTCCAAAAGAAATAGCACTGACTTTGGAGACAGAGTGCATCTTGGAAGTCTTGTAAATGTTTACAAAGCGTATTTGAACATAACACTCCCACAGCAATATGTTATGTCAACCATAAAGAGCATTTAAACATCAGACTCCCACAGCAATACATTGTGCCAGCCACAATTCCCAGATGGGAAACTTTCAGAGACAGCCACTTGGGCGGGCCAGCGACTGTGGGTTTGTCCAGGTCACATACGTGACTTCAGAGACACTAATGCCCTGAAATGCTCTGCCCTCACACATGCACAGGGAGCACTGAAGATACTGGTCTGTGGAGTCCTCTGTGTGTACAGCTAGGCAGCAGAAATGGAGGCTTTCCAAATTAAAAGCTACTTTTAAAATCTGACTTCTCCAACGTTCTTGGTAAATCGGAAGCAGAACCAGGAAAATAATGTAGGAGGCCTGACTCTGTTGGTTATTTCCTGTTATAACTGCTAGACTAAACTTCTGATTTATTTTTATTTTAACTTTTTGACTGTCACAGCTCCCTCCTCAGTCAGTGACTCTAATTAGTTTGTTGGCAAAGTTACAACATTCTCTGTAGGTGTTTTGCTATTCTGCTTTATGGATGTTTATGCATTGCCCTAATAGATATTATTTTCCTTCCCATATCTTCAGTTTTCCAAGCTGTGCCCCACAGTGAATTTGGACTTGCAAACAAGCAAGTTCATTTTCTCTAGTGGGAAACATCATTAGGAATCACTGACAGCAGTGAAGGCAACCCTCCCAACTCCCTCCACCCTGCAGAACCAAACAAAACAGGTATTTGACAGTGTTTGGTAGAAGGTGAAATCTGAGTGAGATACACTAATGGCCTGGGAGATCTGAGGCTGGGTAGTCTGGTTTGTTTGTTGTTAGGGTTTTTGTAGCTGTTGGTGGTTTGGGTTTTTTGGGGGTTTTTTTTTGTTTGTTTTTTTTTTTTTTTAATTTAAAGTGTCTGGCTCCAGCAGGAGCACAGCTGAATTGCATAAACATTTCCAAGAAACAGCCTGCTCCTTGGCACAGAAGCAGCCAGCCCTGCCCACAGGGTGCTCGAGCACCCGGTCACTCTGCACTGAGGTATCTCAGAGCTCATTCAGCTGGAGGGCAAGAACTATTTTCACCAGAGGTTTTTCCTTAGCTAAATGCCAAAATAGAGCAAGAAGACACATTTTGTCATTTAGTATTAACTTAAAAATCATTAATTTATAGAATCTGGGATTTACCTTGTTTAAACCATTAGCCTCCTATTCTCTCTCCACCCCAGCTCCATTTGAATGGTTAATAATAGGCTTTGGTTGGTGTTCAGGTCCTGCAATTCCTGTACTGAGCTTTCTCTTCGTATTCTTTCTGCAGATAGGGATTTATTTTTTTACGTGCAGAGTTAATCTGGCAAAATTATGGTTCTGTTCATAATGGCACAATATTTTGTTGTTACCATATTAAAATACACTGTCCTATTGCCCATAAGCCCAGGTAAGTCTTTGGCCTGGTTTCTATCCTTGGCTGCAAGAACTTGGTGTGTCTTCATTTGGATATTTCAAGGATTTACTGCATCCTGGACAGGTAGGCCTTTGGGGAGGATCAAAACCAAACAGATTTTGGTACCAGAGTACCAGAAACTAGCCATTGCTTGAAGTATGTCTCAATGTCAACACTGGGAGTTTTGTGATCTTTTCACTTTGGACAAGCACTGACATAACTGCCATCACCTTTGCAGGTGTACCTAGTCAGTGTGTGTGTTTGCCTTGGCTGGAAACAACCAATGTACAAAGCCAGTGAATTTTGTGTGGCAAAGTAACAAAAATTACCTCAGTATTCCATCCCTCACTGACACCCAGCTGTCTCTATTTTTCATCCTCTTTCTTTCTTGAGCCAAAACCACAAATTGGCCATCATAAGATTTTAAAAGTGTTTAAGTTGAGCTTTTGTGCTGGTAACTGGCCAGTCCAGCTCTCTGTCAACGTATCAGAGAGTGCATCTCATGAGGGATCTGCCAAATCACTTGGCAATGACGTACATAATAAAGGACTCTCTGCTTTCCCTAAACAATTCCCTCAAAGTATCAGTTTGCAGAGTCAGCAAAAACAAAACATGCTCCCCTCCCCCAACATGCCCTGCTTAAAACTAGATTCATTATAAACAACATGAGCCTGAATTTCCTAATAGCAAAATGCAGAGACACAATTTAATGCTTTTCTTCCCCTCATCTCCCCTAAGTTGGTTTTATACAGCTGAAAGGGCTCTGTACAGCACAGGAAAAGATGAAATCAGCCTAACATTGGTAGGTGGATCCCCTTCATAGAAGAACTCTGAGGGTCTGCTTGTAAGCATGCTTCATCAAATGAAGAGAAAAGGGTAGCAGCAAAGAACAGCTTGATGCACTGACTGGCTCCCGAGTGGTTTGTGGGAGTGGGAGGGTCAGAGCTGTATTTTGAAATGTGAATGCTCCAACATTCTCAACTGAAAGTCAGCACAATTGGGAGATGGCATTAAAAATGCCCTATTGCTGTTACTGTGTACTCCTGTGCCTATTGTATCTTTTAATAAAGGTATGATAACACATCCCCAAAAGGTTCAATTAGAAAATGAAAAGTAGACGGACTGATTCAGTGTACTGGGTGTTGTGGCATTCTGGTCCTGAGGTGGCAGCAAGTTGCAGAGCATTGGGAAATTCACAGAAGTGCTCTCACCTGTCTCAGCTAGTGTGCATACTATGTAAAGAACGAGGACACACTTGCACACTTATGCCGAAATGGCTCATAAAATGGAATCTTTGGATTGGTCAACTTTTTTTCGCCCTTGTCCTTCCTCACTTTTGTGCTCATCTAAATCTTGAGTGTCAACAGAATATGTCAAATGAATACATAGGCAGACAGGT